CTGCTGGGGGACGGTTGATAGGGGAGGGGAATGCTGCTGGTGGGGGAGGGGTTGATTTGGGGCATTGGTTATGCCCAAGAGGGAAGGGGACTGGGAAGATTTTTATTTAGTTCATGAAAATTTACCTGTGTTTTTGGTATCGCTGCACCACCGAGATATCGATTTTTAGCGAAGTTTTGTTGGCTTGCAGATATGTTTTTTGATAGACTCATTTCTTCAGGCAAGAGTAATATATAAATTCAACTGTAATCTTAACAAATTAATCAAAACAATAAGTATAATATGTTATCTAAACGGTAATCATGTGTAAGAAAAACAGAGAATAAAAAAAACGTGCTGACGTTACTTAAAACTGCATTGCACAAGTTGTATTTTTCATTAAAAAAACAACGCTGCTCGTATCAGGGCGAAGCCAAATTAGGTCAGTCTCTGTGATTCCATCGATCCCAAATACTGGTCAGTATTTGGGATTGATGAAATCCCGAAAACTGAAATAATGTGGAATAAATATGGAAAATATCCATTAATTATAGTCATTAGGTTGAGAGTGGTTAGAAACCCAACGCATAGCAAATCATCAATTTAGTTCAGTATCTGGGATTCCATCGATCCTAAATACTGGTCAGTATTTGGGATTGATGGAATCCCAAGAACTGGAATAATGTGGAATAAATATGGATTATATCCATTATTTGGAGTCATTAGTTTGAGAGTAATTAGAAACCCAACGTATAGCAAATTGTCAAATTAGCTCAGTATTTGGGATTTCAGCGATCCCAAATAGTGGTTAGTAATTGGGATTCCCTTATTCCCGAACACTGATCTATTCTAATAATTTTCTATTCTAGTAAATTTCTATTCTAGTGAAATCAAATCATGTATTCAAAAGATATAATTTTAAAGACTACTACACATATAAATGGATGTAAAGGGAATCCGCTAACAAAATGCGGATTCCACATACAATTTGCGGATTCCACTTACAATTTGCGGATTCCACTTACAGTTGCGGATTCCGCAACAGCTCAATTTAACGATACAACACAAACTGCACAAACTGCACAAACTGTTCTGGATTCCGCAAATAAAGTTGCGGATTCCGCAAGTTCGCCTATTTTTTGAGCGATTTTGAGCGGCACAATGATATAGGTATTTATTTGTGGAATCCAAAACAACATAGAAGATCAAAGAAAAATAGCAATGTTGCGGATTCCGCGACAAATCTGATTTTGGCCTGTTGCGGATTCCGCTTACAATGCAGAGAATGCACAATTTGGTCTCGTATTGTTAAGAAATAAATGTAAAAAAACTAAATTATAGTTTTATTTTCTAAAATTTGAAATTTTTTTTAAAAATTAATCCTCACACACGCCATATAAAGTACAAAAGGATAGATTTCGCTCCTTGTAAAAAATCAATTATGGGAAATAAGCTTCCTTCGACTAATTTGGAACAATGTCTATGACCCCGAGAACAAATATTCCGTTACTTTCGTATCGAAAGTCGGAACAAAAAAAGGGTACATTGCGTTTACTTAATCGCTTATCCGTATACGCATCATAACAACGAAATTTGTTCAAATCAGCGAACTTGTTCGGCTCAGCTTGTTTCACTTCGATGTTGTTGCTAATTTTAACAAAAACTGTATATAAGTATTTTTGTATTTGTTTGATCAAGGTCTGCAATTAATTGAACCAGTTTGCGTCAGGTACAGTTTGCGTCAGGTACAGTCATGTCAAAAGAAGACCTCTCAATAAGTGATTGCACGATGAAAAATAAATTATAATGGAAAAATGTTGTCTAAAATGTTGTCATTATAATCCATTATTGTGGCAAATTTAGACCACCTAATCGATTATGTGGTCATTGAAATCGATTGTTTTTCGAAAAATTAAACTCCATTATAATCCGTTGAAATCCTTTATTTTTGGCACTAAAATCGATTATTTTTGCCAAGATAGTCAGTATAATCGATTATTTTTGCTAGGAAAATCCATTATATTTTATTATGATTGATTATAATACATTATATTTTGAACTAAATTCGATTATTTTTGCAGAATTTTTGCGAGTTTTGAATGCCATGTCTGCCATGTCTTTTACTAAAAACCATGTCTAACATCACCCCTCAAGTAGTTTTTAACTCCCCGCAAAAAGTATGCCATGTCTTTTGTTAAATGCCATATCTAACGTCACCCCCTCAAGTAGTTTTTAACTCCCCGCAATTAAAGAGAGTGGGATGTCAATCATAAACCCACTCCCCCAAAATCTACCAATAAATAGGGGGGGGGTACGGTGGCGAATGGCACTTGTGCTGAACTGGCAGGGGGGGGGGTAAAGTAAACCGAGGGGGTAGTTAAAGTAAAGGGGGGGGGGGGGGGTGAAGTAAACAGAGGGGGGGGGGGGGTAAAGTAAACAGGGGGTGGGGTAAAGTAAACTGTGGTGGGGGGGGGGGGTTAGGGTAAACGGGGGGGGGGGTACGGTAAACAAACGGGGGGTGCTAAACTAAACTGAGGGGGGTGGAACGTTTGAGTTAACGTAAACAGTGGGAACACCGCTCAAACCACAATATATATTATATTTAAAAAAATACATAAACTTTAACGTGAAATAAAACATTTTATGAATTGTATTAAGTAGCAACTGCACTAAACAGGAAATGAGATAGATTTGATAAAAGTTGTAAATTTCACAAATAACCTCTCAAAAAAATCCATCATAATTGATTTTAATCGATTATTTTGGCCTAAAAATTATTAGGATTATAATATACTTTTAATGTATTATAATCGATTAATTTGTACTTTTATTCGGATTTTATTGATATTGATTAGAAAAATAGTTTCATTATAACCCATTTTTAACTTAATTGTTTATTGAGACAGACCACGAAAGTTCAATATAATTGATTATTTTCAATGGAACTCCGGTGCGGTTAGCTATGAAAGAATATTGAAAATCAAAATACTCCAACTAATAGCAATGTCTTCGGCGAAGTCATCTGTTTTGAAAAAGACTTCATCAATTTCGGTTGGAACTGAGTTCATTAGAACTGACAATAAAACTTCTTCCGTAACATTAAAAAAAGTAACATTAAAAAATTCAAGCTGTTGTTCCAGCGTCGAGAAAAACTGGTCTCAACTTTTGAGAATAGCATATTTTCGAGCGAGTAAAAATTGGTCATTTGGACTAAGAAATCCTAACTTAGCGCTTCTTTTGCAAAAGCAGTTTTCTAAAAAATGAAGACATTTTGTGCAAAACTAAAACAGAACTTTTTTAAAATTTTTGTTTGTTAAGTTTTTCAAAGACAACTGTTGTCGATTATGCTTAATTTTTTACAGTATACGCGTTTGTGAAGTTTTTCTTTACACCACAGACCAAAAATCAACGCTAATTCTCAGAAAAAAATGAAAAAAGCTGTTATTTGTAATTTTTATGAATGTTGTCGAGACATATTCTGCAATATTTGCTCAGCAACTGGCGATTTGCGTTTAAATTACACAAAATTTTCAAAATGGAAACAATTCCAGCTTCAAAAAAAGTTTTTCTTGACAACGAGAGAAAAGTGTTTCAATTTTTAAAAAGGATTTGTATTACAAAACAATGACTGAAACTGTATTTGTTGAGAAATGTTTTACGTCAAAACTCAAATTAACAATTCTGTGAATGAATTTCTTAAGAGTGCGTGTAGTTTGACTCTTCATTTTGGATGCATCTTGCCAATGTTGCAATTAAATGTTTCTGGTTCTTGTTTATCTTTTTACTGCGTCCGAACAGTTCCATTGAGAAACACTTTGAACTTCGGAGCCTTCCTGATTTGTTCGGGTTTCTTCGTCTTGGTATGCCATACATGAACACCTTCTTCTCCTAAAATGGAAAGGGTTGTTATCTTACCGAAATGTTAGAAATGTTCCGGATTAACTTAAGTTTAATATTATTGAAGATTTTCGGTTCAAGCAGGGAATTAGAAAAAGAAATGAAACAAGCTTTCGAAAAGGTTTTTAAAACAAAACAAGACTGCTCGTATCAGGGCGAAGCCCTGAAAACTCCGACTGCGTTTTACCGTTTATGGAGCAGTAATAACATCCCGCACCGGAGTTCCATGGATAATAATCGATTATAATGGAAAAATGTTGTCTAAAATGTTGTCATTGTAATCCATTATAATCCCTTATAATCCATTATTGTGGCAAATTTAGACAACGTAATCGATTATGTGGTCAATAAAATCGATTTTTTTGAAAAATAAAAATCCATTATAATCCATTATAATTGATTATAATCCATTATTTTTGCCAAAATAATCCATTATAATCGATTATTTTGAAATAAAAATCCATTTAAAGCATTATAATCCATTTCAATTTTAGAACTAAATTCGATTATGACATCCCCTTGCCCCCTCAATATTGAAAAAATAAAATTTAGACAAAAAAAAACAAAAATTTTGAAAATTTCATTTTTTGCACCACATTACGTCGCCAATCCGTGTTATTTCAATAGTCAGATTTGACTATTAGTGTACATGGATTCCGAATTCAAATGATATAACATGCACATGCCATGGATTCCGCGTTCAAATACTCGCATGGCGGTACGAACAGGCATATACGCAAAATCCCGGAATCCGGGACAATCAATTAAACCACCGAAAATTGGCAAAATCTCGGAATCCATGGTATAGCGAACAATTACTTGAATTCGGAATCCAGGACATGGTCCCGGAATCCGAGCCATTTTTACTCAACCACTAAACAAATAGTTGCTAAACAAATAGTTGATAAATTCATTACACTATAACCATGGAATCCAAGACGTTGGAATCCAGTGAGAAAAATGGCATGGAATCCAAGACTTTTATATTTTTGAATTTATCTGGCAGAAGTTTACAGTTTTTAAGCAATTTTATTCCATCTTTTTTGTTTAGTTTGTCCTACAAGTTATTATAACTGCAACTATTAACTTACGTGCTAAAATACTGTATTCCGATGAAAAAAGTTGTGGGTACAATCGTTTGATCAAACTTAGTTATAACTAGTTGTAGTTGCAACTACTAACTAATTAGTTAATTTCGAGCGTGCCGAAATACTGTACTGAGGTTAAGACACTGCCAGTGTCTGAACTTGTTTGATCAAACTTAGTTATAAGTAGGCTACTTGTAGTTGCAACTACTAACTAATTAGTTACTAAGTAATTAGTAATTTCGAGCGTGCCGGAATACTGTACATGTACTTCGATGAAAAAAGTTGTGGGTGCAAATGTTTGAACTACTACTAGTAGTAACTACACGTATGTAACATACAGTATGTTGAACATAAAATATATGGAACTTCCATTGAATGGGTGTAACACAACTTGAAAAGTTTCTAAGGTAAAAAAGCTGAGCTTGTGAACTTCACATGTTGAACATGTATCGAGCAACTTTATCGCCATAATCGTATCGTAGCTGTTCGAAAGGCTCAATGTTTCTTCGGGCTTTGAATACAGCTAATCGTTTTGGCGGATCGAAGGCATTAAGAACAACTTCTATGATCTTCATATTCGCATCCAAATTCTTCTTGGAGTTTAGCGTGCTGTGATTAGCCAGTCGACCAAGACAGCGGTTGGTTGGATGTTCAACACACACTTCTGAAGAAGCATCAATGAAACGCTTCACAGGCGCGCCAATTTCCAGCACAAATTCAGTCGGAACAGAACGGTTCCTTATCAAATCTTGATATGTTTTATCTGTCACAGCAACCCCATGGTAGTCCATGATAATATCATCCTTCTGGAAGGCCTGTGTGCTGACAACGCCTGAATCAGAAAATGTTCAAAATTTAAAGTTTACTCTATATTATTTAACACTGTTACATGGCATTTTTGAATGGAATTCAAAAAACTGTATTGGTTGAAAACTTTATGACTTTTTAAAACTTTAAACTATAACGTTTGAATCAAAAAAGAAATTTTTTTGAAAAAGAAACGTTTGAAAGTTTTGGAAACTTGTCGTCAACGTTTTCAAGAAACGCAAGATTACCTCTTCCGAAGGTAGGGAAAACAACATCACAAATGCCAACCCATTCTTGCGTATCACATCTGTGGGCCAGAAGCGTTTTTGCTTCCAATGAAAGAAAGTTTCCAGTGCCTTTATAACTAATGCCGCTGGCATCAGAAAGCGGCTTTTGTTGTCGCTTGCTTTTCTCTTTCTGCAGCATGGCGATTTGGGACATGACTTTCTTTAGGTCGTGATGAGTTTCCCATTTGTTTCGCTGGAAAAAACCCGACACGCGCGTCTCCGATACAACAAAGTTTGGATACTGTTTCACAAAAGCTTGTGCTCTAATTGTCTGTCTAATGTATCTTTGTTGATCTTGTCTACATCGCACAGCTTTTTCAACATATTTGTAGGTGTGATTGACAATCTGGAAAAACGTGAGCGTATTGTTTGATACATCCAATTGATAAATTGTGATACTGTATAAAAAAACTGTGAAGGACAAATCAACTGAAACAGTCGAAACTTTCCGAAAGTTTGCGGGTCGAAACGTTTTTTAAATTAAAAAAATTCTTGGAAAATCAAAGTAGTACCTTGTGAATTTCCTTCGTTTTGTGTTTCACCAGTTGAAATGCAGGATCCTTTGACAAAGGCATGAATTTTGCCACTTGACGATCGAGCAATGTCTTGGGTCGCTTAGCAGGCTCCATTTGAGCAGAAATCTAAACAGATCCTTCTAGAACGAATTCCCCGTTGTGTTCAAATCATATTAGGAAGTTCAACTTCCACAGACTTATAAGTTAAAAGTTGAAACGTACCATGTCAGAAATTGTGGCGGCAAATCTATTCACACGAAACTTGGTGTTTCCACTGGAGTTCACAAAAAAAAGTTCTGTTTTGACTTGGATTGGTTGCTCAGGGAAAGATCGGTTGAAAGAAATCTTTTCTTCCGGGACACTCTGAGTTAAGAAATGTGGTCGAACTTCAGTGTGATAAAGTTTCAAACCCTGTACGAGCCATCGCGGCAAAATGTGATTCGAACGTTCAGTAGACACTAAACAAACAGTTTCACAATTTTGAAAAAAAGTTATACGGAAGAAATTCAAGATGACTCACTTTCACTTGGTTCAATTGAAACCGTTATACAAGTATCGTCCTCATCTGACAATGCCACAAACGCTTGTGCAACTGCATGAACAGACGTGCAGCTTATGGTTTTTTCTAGCATTGATGGCACGACATAACAGTATAAGAAGGCTGTCACAAGTTGAAATAACGAAACACGTTGTTTATGGGTTAAAAAACCCGATTCTTGGAAAACATCCAAGTGCTCTTTAACAAATGTTTCGATTTCTTGCCTCTCGCAATGTTCATTTTGGTCGTCTTTGGACGAAGCAGCTTCAAGTTGTTCTTGAACGCGTGCAAGTTTTGCAGCTATCTAAACTCAAAACAAAAACTGTTAGTTGAACTACAAAAGTGAACAAAAACATTAGCTGAAAGTTTCCAACTCTTCACGATTTGAGCAGCAAAAATGCTTTTTGTTTCAAAAGAAAAGGAATCTTACCTCGGTTTGCGAGTCATTGTTCGTTGGAATAACTCGTTTTGCCATATTCTCAGATGAAGACTCAGTCGGAGGCTCTGTACTTGAACTGCCAGCCTGAGTGGCAGTCGCCGACTGCGGCGTGAACAGAGGTATTTCCCATGACAAAGTTGATGAATGCTGGTTTGAAGGAGTTGATTCTGAAGGTTGAGAAAAAAAACGACTGAGTTCTGTTCCATTGGCAGTGTAATCATCATGATGATCAGTGGGCTGGCTGGCAATTTGATTTCTATGAAAAAAAGCGGGATCAAAGTGTGGGTACACCACTGGAATTGGGCTAATGAAGTTTGAATACCCTTCACTTCGAGAAGACACTTGCTGCGGAGTCTCCAATGTGTGGTAAGTATTGTCATTATGATTAACATCTGTAATAATTGTACAAGGTTCAGCATAGGGCATAGGGCCGAATCGGATGGGGGTTCCTAAAGGAACTTCCACAGATGGGAGCTGTGCAAAATTTGGTCGAAACTCCGAGATGTACTACATCTGTTAGTAACAGACTGTTGACTAGATGGAGGTTCATTATGATCTCTATGGAAAGCAGGAGTTTCAAGTTGCGCAGTATTCACAGCAGGAAGTTCGGAGTCCATAGTTCAGGTTAACGAAACTTGGAATGAAATGAGAAGTGACTAGAAAGGATTGCAGAATCGAATGAATCACCCTCGGAGGGTGTTACTAACAACTTACTAATAATAGTATTTTTCAATAATTGAAGTTCAATTGGTGTTCAATTGGTACTCAAATTGGTTGTGATAACATGCCATATTATACTATATTATATTATGCAGTGTATAATTGACTCTTAATTGCTAAATTACTGCAATAATATAATATAGTATAATATGGCATATTATCACAACCAATTTGAGTACCAATTGAATACCAATTGAACTTCAATTATCGTTTCAATAGTCGTTTTATGCGGTTAAACATAAAGGTTTAAATTGGTTGTTAAAAAAAATACTCATCATGACAATTACTCATCATGAGTACAATGATTGTACTAAATATTATTCATTTAGATAAAATCACTCCTACAAGATGCTTCCATCATTGTTCAAGGAAAAAGAAGAAGTGCAAGTTCTTGATGAAGTGACGTACATTTGGGAAGCCGCTAGAATACCGGGTTTCATTAGTAACTGGGGTGTGAGTGTCAAATGGACTGAATGGAAGGGTCCGGCCGTACAGATAACAATTCCAGAAGACCTTCGCGACAATCGGAGGATGAAACATTGGAAAATAAGAAAGACAATCAAAGTTGTTGAAGAGCCAGATAGGGCTAAAAGAAGA